GGGAAAAAGTTTCCGACGTCCGTGCACGCGGCGCGCGCACACCTAATGTGTAATGGACGTGAACAATCACTCGAAGAAGAAACATGGTGGAATAGTAGTCATCCCAGGAGTAGAGGTATAGAAGGGTATGTGCTGTTCAGGAAAGACAGAAATAAAGGCAAAGGTGGTGGAGTAGCATTGTATATTAATGATTAATTAGACTGTAAAGAAATTAGAAGTGATGGAATCCATAAGACAGAGTCTGTTTGGGCCAAAATCACTTTGGGGAAGAAAGCTATTTGAGGTTCTCCTGATATGGTGCTTGGGTTATACTACAGACCACCAGAATCCGATTTGGATATGGATAGAGACCTCTTTCACTATTTAATTGCAAGTATAGAGCAGGACAAACCATTCTTAGCAACATTTAAAAAAACACAGTTCACAACACGTTGTTTTCCTAGTGGAGAGAAGACTTCAGGGGGCCTTCATGGACTCAGAACTTCTAAGATAAGGTGCTTGATGGACCTACTCTTTAAGGGGCAGCAACATATTAGTATGAACACTGCCAAGCTATTCCCCATAGAAGGAAGATAGGTGATTCTCAGGTTTTTAGGAACAATCTCCATCCTCTTTAAGCACTTCCTAGATTAATTTTCTTTATCAAGGTTCCCATCAAGCCAGCTCCAGTTTTCTAGCTGCTGCAGTTGACATTGCGGCTCTGAATTGATACAGTTCCAGCCTACCTATCAAAAGGTTTAGCATCTACTAACTGTTCTGCCCTGGGCTTATGCTTACAACTGTCCTGACTTGTTCATGACACTTGAGTCCCCCACATGAGGACATAGGTGCTGAATGCATGCGCTCAGGTACAAGCACATATAGTAAACCAAGGTCAGACAATGAAGTAAATGATATTGCACCTACTTTCACCATGTCTGGATTTTGGGCCTTTATTTTGGATGTTTGAAATGGTTTCCAACTCCAGGAGTCCATGCTAAGGATATGCCAGTTTGATGGGTGGAGATGGCCAACCAATTAAAAAATGAATTCCTGATAACAATGCAGGGCCAGATCCCTTAGCAAGTGTAAATCGTTGCTGTGCGTATGGGTCTGTGCTAACTTACAGCTGCTGATGACCTGGCCTATGATTCATATGTTATTTCTTTTTCATTATGTAGAACATTAATGGGGGCTCTGAAACTAAATCTTGGTGGTGCTCCAGAAGGACCTGCGGGGACTGGCAAAACCGAAACAACAAAAGATCTAGCAAAAGCACTGGCTAAGCAGGTACCAAAATTAATGAAATGTTGCAGTGCATTGTTGCAACACATTGTTTTATGTTTGGAGATGCAGGTCTTCTCTGGAGTTCTTTCTCACGAAAGTGTTGGTGCCCTTCACCTATTATCCATTCATGGAGATTGCTAATGGAAAGCTCATAATTAGGACAAAATCCTGGCAAAAAGCACACAGCCTGAGTGAACAGGCTGTGTGCATTCCATGTAATGTTTCCAATAGGTATGGGGATGAATAATGGAATCCTCAGCTCCAATCTGCAGTAGCCAGTATGTACCTAAACTGCAGCTGCTCCTTCAGGGTACTAGAGCAATTAATAGGCCTGGCCCACTGCTGACTGCCATGCTGCATTTTGGCCCACCTAAAATCCCCTTTCCATGTTCCTGTGTATAGGAAGCTTTCACAGAGCTTGGTTAATGACTCAGTGTGGGGGCAGGTTCTCTTTGTATGGGTCTCAACTGTGTAGTAGAAACATGATATTTCAGTTGTGTTTGGACACTAAGGGTAGGTCTACACTTACCTCCGGGTCCGGCGGTAAGCAATCGATCTTCTGGGATCGATTTATCGCGTCTTGTCTAGACGCGATAAATTGATCCCGGAAG